GATACCTGTACAAGGTGATCTGCTTGATCTCCTCCCTGTGGACAGTGGGCTATGACCCCCACTGAACAAACACCATCTCCTCGGTTTCCTTACTGCTGATTGTGAAGTAGAAGTTGTGAACAAATCTAATAACCTCCATGAAGTACAATGACAGGTTTTAGTGATGCAGGCTGTAAATGTCAGTGTCGTCAGAAAATTCAAAAAACAGGGAGACTATTGGTGCAGTCGTTTGTGTAAATGGTGAACAGGACCGGTGAGTTTACACAACCCTGAGGTCCACCTGTACTTATGGATTTGGATTCTGACATTTTGGAGTTCTGTTTATTAAAAAAGAATAAAACAACTTAATAATGAAAGGATTAACATTCATCTGTGTAATTTTCTGTAACAGCAGATGAGGCTGCAATGAGTTAATACAGAATTTATATATATATATAAGGTGTGCATAGGCTCTGGGATCCTCCAGATGCAGAGCCAGGGGGCTGATGCTATTAATTCCATCGTCTGAACTCCTTCCCTGCCTAGAAGCAGACTGGAGTGGCTCTAGTTTGGGTTGGACTTCAGATTTCAGTATAGAAACCATGTATTCTTCAAAGCATTTCATAACAACAGAAGTTAGAGCCACTGCTCTATAATCGTTGTTTTCTTTAGGTCAGGGTTTCTTTGGAATGGGACAAGTAAGAGAGGGCTGTTTTCCAGAAGGCAGGAACCAGATTGGAATCTGCTGACCTCTGAAACACAGGACACCATGCTGGGGTTCGCTCTGCAGCAAAAGGTCTTTAGGAGAAAAGCGAAGATGCAGATTTCTTTTTACATACATGGCAGGAAAGTGACTGAATTCAGAGGGGGATCAACTGCTAACATTTGTAGTAAGAAGAAAGTATTCAACTACCGGTACTCACTCCTATTAAATAAAGGGTGATTGATGGATTTCACTCAGTCTGCATTTTATTTCACCTTTGCAAAGAGAGAATGAGACATCATACAGCCTTATTGCATGCATATCAGCCCTGATCTGATCTAGACAGTTTGTCCTCCTTATTTACAATGATGGAGATGCTGAAGGTTGTGTCAGAGTCAAAACAACATCTCTACCCAAAACAAAGACAGATAGTTTGAAGAAAGAGTATAAATCAGCGGTCCCCAACCTTTTTTGCGCCACGGACCGGTTATATGTTAGACAATATTTTCACAGACTAGCCTTTAAAGTGTAGGGGGTAAATACGATCAAATAAAATTATACGAATGGCATAAAATCAAATATGAACAGCATAAAAATAAAACTCACCATTATGTTGAATTAGTGAAAGCCCTGAACTTTTTTCTTGGAACAAGCTGGCCCCATCTAGGCGTAATCGGAGACAATGACACAGGAAGTGAGCTCCTAATGTCCTGTCTGCTCCGTAGCTTTGTTTTGGCAGAAAATCCTGCTTGTGCGGCCCGGTACCGGTCCATGGCCCGGTGGTTGGGGACCGCCGGAAATGATATGAGAATCCCAAGAACTCCCTAATAGGATAAACAGCCCCCCCCTCTCTTAGACATGTTGTGGCCTTGGAGCTCTGAGGTTGAATGAACAAGGGTCGGTTTAAATTGACTGTAGAAAATGGTTGCATTCCAAAGAATAATCCTGTGTATCAAACCTGAGAAAAGAATCATTAGGTTAGCTTGCTTTACTCAGATCATCATGTGTAATGAGACTCTTTCTATTTTAAGCTACATTTGTATCTTATTAAAAATAAAAGCAATTAATCTTAAGAAAAATAAATCAAAATATATTTTTTTCTCTGCTTTGCTTATAAGAATAGTAACAAATACAACTCTGTTATAAAATTGTGCATTTTTTATATCAAAATGTCTTTAATCATGTAGAAATCATTACATATATATTAAGAAGATATATTGGTTTCAGGGCCAGAATGACTGGCAATAATGCATATTTGAACAAAAAATTGTTTTTTAAAAGCTTAAAAAACAATTGTTTATTTGATGTAATGATGTATGTTTAGGTTAATTTAATATGTTGTTTTTATTTATGAAAGATATTTGTTTGTTGTTTTCCTTGCACAGTTTATTATGGCACTTTGGCTTTTCCTGTTTGAACCAAAAACTATAAACATTACACTTCTAGTGTAAATAAACAGAATATTAACATTTTTAACATTTAGTAATAGTAGATAGAAAGCCTAGAAATAGGGCACTGTAAGCTGCAATGCTAGAGCTGCAATGGGTCTATTAAAGGTTTGTGAATGATCTGATTATAAGGCTGTTGATTGCTTCATTAGATATTCAGTTCAATTCAATTTATTAATATAGCGCCAATTCACAACACATGTCATCCCAGGGCACTTTGATGCAAATCAACCAGATCATACATTTTAATTGCTTCAGAGTTTTCTATCTAAGGAAAACCAGCTGATTGCATTGACTCATACTAAGCATGCTTGTAGCAACAGTAGAGAGGAAAAAGGATGTATTAATGGCAGAAATAGAATAATTCTGCTTAGGCTCAGCCTGGGCTCCCCTTAAAGGAGCAATCCGGAAGAAATTTATAGTGAAATTAATCAATAGTTAGTTCCTATTAAAAATAAGTCCAACACCTTTTTTTAGATGGAGAGAAAAATTATATGAGACGCAGTCAGGCTGTAAGTGAAGCTTTCTCAAGTGCCTTTTACTAAATATATAGTACATAAACAAGAACGTGAAATAATGAGGCTTGTTTTTATCACAAACATAATCAGGCTGGGTATGAATATTTGTTGCCCAACCTTTATACGTAAACAATGCATCTATGAAATCACTTATGTCCATGTTAATAAAGCTATTGATGAGGTATTCTTCCTGTCGAAGCAAAATTCTTCCTTCCATTGTTGTCACATGTATGTTGAATATGAGGAAATGCTGCGTGACTAAGAACAAGACGCAATCACTTGTCTGCTGTCACCATGTGCTCATTCAGATAGGGGGGGGATTTACTGAAAATTTTATTTCTTGGTGCAATCTGCCGAGTTTGGTTAGATAATAAAATATTTGGTTTTTAAACTGAATACTAAACCGAACTTGACTCCACTGTTTTGAATCAATTCAATTAAATTCAGTTTATTTCTATAGCGCTAATTCACAACACGTCATCTCAAGGCACTTTACAGTTCAGCTGATCATCCAGTCAGAATGATTCAAAGATTTATATCTTAGGAAAACCAGTTGATTGCATCGACTCATTGACTCGAAGGCAATCATTAGCACTAAGAATGCTTGTAGCGACAGTGGAGAGGAAAAACTCCCTTTTAACAGGAAGAAACCTCCAGCAGAACCAGGCTCAGTGTGAGCGGCCATCTGCTGAGGCCGACAGGGGTTCAAGGAGACAGAAGCAGAGATACAAAAGGCAACTGATACTAGGATCTAACTTGAATGTAAAAATAATAAGTCTTTTTGTGTATTAAGAAAGTGTCTTGAGCGGTGCTTTAAGAAGGCAGGTATGCAACAATACAAAGTACCATCACTTCTGCTACACAGACCCCTTGACCTCTCCACACTTTACAGCTGGTCTGGCTCTAAAAGATTGGAAGGATGGAAACAGAGGTCTACTAAGCTCTCATTAGAGCATCTAATGGGGACACTGAAAAAATGCTTATGACTATTACCTGACTATATTCAGGCAAAATATAAATTCAGGGGTGTTGCTAGCGATTTAGGGGCCCTGGGTACATGAAAACTGACTCTGTGTTTCCCCCCACCTGCAAATAAAAGATACCAATACAGTATATTTCACTTAGTTTCTCTTTATTTCCACACATTTTTAACTGCCTTTGCTTTGTGAGGGCTCAAAATGGGACCATTTAACATGTCTGTGTTGCTTTTGATATATAATTTTTTATGTATTTCAATAATTAAATTAGCATTGCTTCAATAGGGGTTAACGGCATGTAAAATCTTATTTTGCTTTTGTTTTGTTTACAGCAGAAAAAAAAGAGAAAAACTTTCTCCTGAGGTTTAAAAAAAAATGATATAAGCAGCTGAAAGTGTTTGTGCATTTATCGTGTTTAAAAATGTTTATGCAATTAAGATAAAGTTGCATTAATGTGCATTAGCATGTTAACTTTGACAGCCCTAACTGCAAGGTTTTTTGTTCTATGTTTTCATTGTATCAAGACTTTGCTAAAGTATTACCTGTAGTTTAGCTGCTTTCACTACTTAGTTACACACTGAACTCATGGAGGAGGAGGGACTTCTTTTTCTCAAGTAAATACTTATGCATTGTCTATATCTAATAATATGCTTTATATGTTTTTATTTTATATATACTATTATAGCTACTTTGATTTTTCAAAAGTCCAATGTTTTTTGGTGACTCCTCTGGTACTTGCATGGTGCATGTGGGCAGAGAGCTGAATAAAATGATAAGTCTTAAGTGGAATTGGTTTGTTAAGCAGACCGTAATGAGCTCATTAATATCTTTAGTCAGTTATCAGCTTTTTCTGCATTTTCAAAGGTCTTTAATTTTATATTTAATAAAATTAAAATTAAAGATAAATTAATTTTTTATGTATTTAATTTCCATGTTAACAGCATGACAGGTTCAAAGACAATAAAAGTAGCTTTTTGAGACTTCGAATTTGACTCACATCGATTTGATTTGTGACTTTTTTTATTCTTTTTAATTATATCTATGGATCGATACAACTGTATTGAAATACTTTATTTTTCAGAAAGAGCAATTCAATTGTAACTGATTTCTACGCCTAGAAGTATTACAAATGTTTTTGTTGCATTTTTGTAAGGACATCAACTTGAGGGACTTTCATTTAATTGCAAGAATTGCTCTTATTTCAAGGCTGAATATTAAACATTAGATGGTAAACATTTTATCTATGTAAACTTAATCAATACTAGAATAGCTGCTGCAGAAAGAAGCGGAGGAAGGCCTCAGAAAGCTCATCCTTTTTTACTTTTTTATCAGAATATGTTATTTGATGTTTTTGTTTTTGTGTCTCTCTTACCAGAACAGTACCAACTGAATAATGCAGCCTACGGCGCAGCCGGACAAGGGCTTCCTCAGCCGCATAGTAACCACAGCACGCTGGGACTGAACAAATACACCTCCCTCAAAGCTGTGGGTAAGTGGCAGACCCTCTCGAAATGATGCTGACTGCAAATGACGCCGTAACCTTTAGAGTAGACTTAAGATGGTAGAACACAAGTTCAAAATGAAGAGGGAGCCTTCGTCTCTGAACAAAGTGTTGATCTGAAACACCCAAATCTACACATGCTCTATGGCATTTATTTTCTTCTAATTATGCATCTACCCATTATCTACCAAAAATTTTCTTTTCTTGATTTTAATGTAGCCCCCGAAAAATCTGCTTCTGTCGTTGGAGATAAATGTGGTTTTACAGACAAATCCATAAATATAAATGTAAATTCCTTCATTTTTTTTTTCATTTATAAATATTCAATATTCATGGTTTGGATGAAGAACCGGGGTTGAGGGAATATCCAATCCAATCCAATCCACTTTATTTATATAGCACAATTTCAATAAACCCAAGGTTTCCAAAGTGCTTCACAAAAAAGATAAAATAAATAAAAGTAAACAAAATAAAATAAAAGCAGATAAAAATATGCATGTGTATACATAAATATTTGGGAATGATGTAATCAGGGTACCATTCAAATATTGAGGGTTCTGTAAACTCTCCAGTTGAAAGGTTTATTTTTCACCTGCATCTTTTTTCCCATTTTGGTTCTACTTTAGTTTCAGAAATCATAGCAGCACTGACCGTATTTTTTTGGAAACGGTTTCAAATTCTGTTGAGAACAAAAGATCAAGTAGAAACAACAGTCTTTACTGTCATTGTCACCACGATGACATTTTTCTGTGTCTGGCTGGTTACTGATGTCGGGCAAACCTGGATTAATCAGTTCATCCTCTAGAAAAAGACTGGAAACAAAAGAACTGCCTTAAGTTCAGGAAGTAGTGGAGTTATGCATAGAGCCCATAGGCTGGAGGTTTGATTGAACTTTAGGATGGGGGGTTAGTGTCTGCCTGCAGGGGGAGATTTTCTTCACAGCTCTGAGACAGAAACTGTTTCTGCGTCTGCTTGTTCATTTAGGATATTATATTCCTGAATTGTTTTCCTGATGGAAGAAGATCAAGTCATGCAGAGCCTGGGTGACTGTATACACAATCCCACAATCTGCTGTGCCGTTCTCACAGAACACCCTTCTATATTCATTTAAACAAAATCCGTTCTGCCTCTGGATTCTGTTGGTTTTAATGCATATTTCAACAGACATTAAACCCACAGGTGGAGGTTTAATGTAAAAAAAAACAAATTATTTTGAGTGTTTTAGAGCTTTCATAGCTTTTAGAGCTTTGACAGTAGACATTCCACTGTCTGTTTTGAAATTTCCTTCACATTCAAAACACAATTTAATTAAGTAGGTCTGGTAAAAAAAAATAAAAAAAATAAAACAAAAGAATTATACTTAACAGGCATTTTTATCAGACTTAAAATTGGGAAAAACTGGCAGAGATATTGTCAAAGTCGGGTTTATGTAAATCTTTCGTCTATTTCTGCACAATTAAGCAGAGTCAAGTTCAAGACTCACATTTAGGGATGTGTGACCCACGTACATTTATGATCATCCTCTCCATTACTTATTTTCAGCATGTCCGTCCCTCTCAGGCTGCCATCTGCTGCCAAGGTCTCAGCAAAAGAAGAGGAAAGCTGCTCACTCACCTTCAGGGCATATGCCAATTTAAAAAAAAGTCTGCCTTTCCACTCAGATATGCTTTAAACCCTTCCACTCTTCTTTTTTTGTTTATTTAAATTCAGATTCAGACCTCTTATTCTAGACTTCTTGATTCATAAGAGGAGATTTGCTTTCTTCTCCCTTAGACAAATATACGAAAATGTAAGACTTGGCAAAACCAAATTTCTGTCAACAAACAGAAGTTTTGTCTCATTCCTTCTAATAAAAATACTCAGAGGTAAAAACGGAGCTGAGGGAGGCGAACCTAAATGCATCCCAGATTAACTGTGATTCAGAGATGGGTGTTCTTGCGATGACAGGCTGCATCTGCACATTGACAGCTCCTTTATGGCTGCTTCCACATGTGACTCAGTGCTGAAACACACTGTGACAAATTGAACATGACTTTAAAGTATGAACAAGTTTAAAGAATCCAAATAAAAAAGTTATCTTTGGCCTCATTTTCAAATAAAAATTCATTATTTTCCTTCTTAGAGCAACTTTCACTGTTACTGCTGTTATGAAATTAAATCCTGTGAAAATGTGTGTTAAGACAACAAATGGAACTGATCTGGGCTCAAATTACCCCTCAAACAGTTAAGATATGGAATAAATTCACAACAATTTCTATTCAAATTATAAGAATTTATTAAGAAAAATTGGAGAAAAACTAAACATAAATAAACAGTGAATATATATATATATATATATATATATATATATATATATATATATATATATATATATATATATATATATATATATATATATATATATATATATATATATATCATCATCTTAGTTTTTTATGGAGTTTGCAGATAGGTTGGTGCTTCACCAATATTCCAAGTTAATATAAGGGATTATGGCATATCACTGCCATCCTTTAAAAATACAGTGGGATGGTGACATTTTGTTTCTCTGTGGGAATAAGTTCAACAGAGCACAACGAGTCAATGTCAGCCATTGTGCATAAAACTTTCACTATGCAGAGCTGAACGGCACCACCTTTAGAAATGCCTTTCTCATAAAGCAAGGTTCATTCTTTATGAATAAATTTATCCAAGAAAATGACCAAGATAGAGAGGTAGACATGTTTTTAAAATCTGTGGATCAGCAATTCACCATTATTTTTTACGTTTCTTCTAGTCCTAAGGCCAGAACACACAGAATCAGATTTAGCAGCCGATCCGACAGAAAAATCGCGTTGGACGAAGTCATGGCATTAGCGCTGATTGAAAGTCAATGGGGATGATCACACTGACATGAGTTTCTGCAGGGGGCTGCTTAGCCCCGACTGAGATAGACCCTAGGTCTATAATTATAAAGGTCTATAGGTCTAGGTCTATAATTAAGACCTTAGGTCTATCTTTGTCGGACTACGGAGCAATTCAGCAACAGTTTAATGGGTCCGACAGGAAGAGAGACGCAGTTACAAAACACATCTGCTTTTGGGGAAAATACAAAATAAAAGCTGTTATTACATGGGGAAAGAATCAGTTTTGGAGTCGGACAGAGCATAGGGCCTATATAAAAAGCGGGAAATTTTTTTTGAAAAAAATAATAATTTACCCATGATAGGAGTTCAGGAGGACAGAAAACGTGTAAAGTAATGGATCCTTCTAACCCCACCAAAAAAATAAACTAAAAAATCGTAGTTTATCAATCTAATTTAAAAATAAAACTTCAGAAGGACAGAAAATGGATAAAGTAGTGATCCTCTTTGAGCATCACAAAAAAATAATGAGGGGCAGATAGAGCAGAAAAGTGCTGCGTATCTCTCTCACCTCTTTGTGAAAAAAAGCAAAAACAAAAACTCCGACAAACTTCCCAGATCTCTCTCTGAGAATCACCTCTCTGCCCCAGTCAGCATTTAAACCGTCCCACAGCGTTTATTGCTGTGATTTTCTCTTAAGACGTAATTTTCGTCTTTTCATTATAGGCATATGAACATTCTCTATCTGGTTTGAGACGCTGCACGAACTCGTTAAGTGCGGCTTGGCTTTATAGCTGTGTTGTTTTTTTATTCATTAATATTTTTTTAATAATTTGAAGAACTTTTCATAATCTGTCAAAGTCAAGTGTGGGAATTTTTTTTTAATTTGTATAGCACAAGGATGGAAATGAAAAAAATGTGCTCAGATCTGCTCACCCTGCCTAGTCGGAGCTTCTCTAAAGCTTCACAGTCAGTGTGACATGGAAAAAAATCGGAAGGATTAAAAAGTCGTACTCAACCAATGTGTTCAGACCTTTAGCTTCCCAAAATGTAGTTATTGGCTGTGTCCGAATGTCCACCCTAATCACTATATAGTGGTTACGCCATTTTAAATGAGTGTCTGAATATCTAGTGGATAAAAAAGCAGTGGACTCGAAATTTCCCACAATGCACCTTGAAAAGTAGTGATCATCCATAGTCACTAGTAAGCAGATATATCCCAGATATATTGCATGGAGAGCTCTCCTCACAAAGCATTATGGGATTTGCTGTTAGAGCCTCCTGCTGTTGCCATAGGCTATTGATTCCCGACAGCCCAGACTAATAATAAAGATGGCACAGGCACTGGGCGGTGGAGGAGGAGTTACGTGACTAACGGGGAGCTAAAAGCAGTGATCATCTGTCAGAACCGTCAGTTAACTGAGTTCACTATAAAGAGCATTACATAGTCCCTGCACTATAAAATGATTAAGGGATTTAGGGGTCAGAGCGGACCTTCGGACACAGTCCTTCAAACCAAAAATTTACTATAAAGGAGAACATTACCTTTACTCCAAACAATTAACACTTTTTACTGTGTGATAGAATTTAATTAAATAACTTATGCATATCTACCATTTAAAAAACGTTAAAGAAAGATGCACTAGATTTAATCATTCATACGAACACACTCCCCTCTTTGGTTTTTAGCAATCTAAAATGGACACAGTGGCGTATTCAGACAATTTTCATGGGGTGGCCAGGCACCTTAGTATTTTCAATTTATTTCAGTTTATTTCTATAGCGCCAATTCACAACACATGTTGTCTAAAGGCTCTTTACAGTTCAACCAGATCATACAGTCAAATTGATTCAAAGTTTTCTATCTAAAGAAAACCAGTAGATTCCATCAACTCATCGACTCGAAAGCAATCTCTCACACCAAGCATGCAAGTAGCGACAGTGGAGAGGAAAAACTCCCTTTGAACAGGAAGAAACCTCCAGCAGAACCAGGCTCAGTGTGAGCGGCCATCTGCTGAGGCCAACTGGGGTTCAAGTAGGCAGAAGCAGAGATACACTATCCAAAACACTTTCTATCATTTGTCAAACAAATAAGAGCAGGGATTTAAGGACTGGTGTAATGTAAGATATTACCTAGACGATGACCTAAATATAAAATTAACAAAAGAAATCTCCTCTCAGGGTTTGATGATGATACCTATTAGAAATTATCTGATCCAAAATAGCTTGACAGCAAAAATCTGTAAATGAGCTGGATGTTGAATATTTGTTCTGTGTTTCTCTCTGCAGCAGAAACCGCTTCCCGTAGCTATTATAAGAGCTTTCCTGTGATGGACTTCTCCAATTACCAACCCGTAGCACCTCCTGCCTTCCAGTCCTCACAGCCGAAAGAGAAGTCATACATCCACCAGCCGCTGCCAGCGCACCATGATATCCACACCCCTTTGTCTATCTCCATCCCATCCAACCACTTTGAGCACTCGCGCCTCCCTAAGACTACCACACACCCGTTTATCTCCAATTCTGCCTTCAAAGCCTGGGAACCAGCTGGCCGCCATGTCCACAGGCAGACCTCTGCTCCAGCGCACACCTCTTCGTCTCTGAACAGCTCCACTCGGAGACACGGCTACTCGACACGGAGGCAGCAGAGCATAGAGAACATGCAGGATGTCTTTAATCATCCCTATGGAGGTATGTATGGAGGAGCTGGAGGTGGAGGAGGGCAGGGTCACCATGTGCAGGTGCAGCACACTTCTCAGCCCTCATACCACCACCACCACAGCAGGCAGAAGAGCTACTCCACCCACAGCGCCACTGAGGTGACTGTCTGAGTGTTTCAGTAAGAGCAACCTACCTGAATATTAACCAAAAGAAAAACGTTGGATTGAGCCATTACGATCTGTCCAGCATGTAAAGGGTAATGCAAGAAGACAACTCCGATTTTTAACATGAAGAAAAGCCAAGGAAAGAGACTCCTTATTGCACATGAAGGACTCAATACATGACGGAGTTGAAAACTCCCAGACTTATGGCAATTGCAGTTCTGCCGTGTCCCCTGTAGCTATTATGGTTCTTTAAACCACATGGAAATCTGGTCTGGAGGACAAAACAAATATGTCTTTATCTAGATTTTAAAGGCCAGAGCTTAGTTTTCTCCAAAGAACATTTTGGTTTTGATTTTGGTGTTGAAGGAACAAATTATGTTATTAGAAAGTAGAGGTGTTACTAGTCAAACAGGATATAAGACTAACATCAGACTAATCACAGTGAGATAAGCGCCTTTAAAGGAAAAGTCAGGTCATATTCAGTTTTCAAACTTCTGGTAGAACTTTAAATATGAAATTATTCCATCCTGTTTAATAAATGATCAGTGTTTTTAATTCAGAGTAATTTTCATGTGAATGTGCTTTACTGGAGGCATCCATGTTTGTCAAAGAACACTACTGCCACCTACTGGTTTGTGACGTCACGGTGCGGTATCGGCTGTTGATCAAGTCCCAGTGCTGTATCTGGTGTTTGTCACAACGCGCTATTATCCAAGTCATCTTGAAAACATTCTTCTTCCAAATGTTGGCTACATATTACGTGTTTTTTCTCTGGCCAGAAGTTCGATGGCAAATCCTCCCTCTTCAAGTTGGCGATCCAACGACCAACCCGTCCGTGGAAGATCAGGAATCAGAAAGATGAAATAAAATATTTTTTTCCCACTTTTATCCGATGTATTCCAGCATCCAACTGCCATGCACGTGGGCATTGTCAGTTTCACTATAGCTCTGGTGAATTTCAATGGTGAAGTCCTCTGGAAATCTTCAATAATTGTTGTTGATTGCAGATGTGTCTAGTAGTTCCCATTGATTTTGCTTGTAAAGCGGGGAGAATGGCGATAGGCTTACCGCACCGTGACGTCACTGCTTGAAGATGGCAGGAGGGAGGGGTTACTATATTTGGGCAAAAATGGCCGCTCCCAGACTCGAAAATTATTGTTTTTTTTTTTTACGGATTAACGCTAAATTCATTAAATCACCTAAAACATATTATTTTTGGGTATAAATAATGATCCATTGATTTTACCTTGCTGACCGGACTTTTCCTTTAAAAAATTTTATGATAAACATTTTGGGAGGTTGGTTGTAAAGAGGGTGCAGTGACAATTGTACAATATGGCAGTGTTGTAGATAGATAGATCTGTTTTATTTTATTGCTACACAATAGGAACAAAGTTGATCGTATTAAATGTGGTTTTAAAAACCACTCGCTTCACCGGTTTCTACCTTTTACCCAAAGTAACCTGGAAACAAAAAACTAGCGCTTAAAACAACTAGGAGGAACAGACTAACTTTAGCTTGCCTAATTCCAGCTCCGTCACCATAAACATGACAATTCAAGACGTATATTATAGGTGAAACAAACAGTATAAGAAATTAAAAAGTGGCTTTAAAGATGGTTTTAAATGTGTCTTTTAGTTTTTTTTTGTTTTCTTGTTTTTTTATGTGATTTATGATCAATTAGCAGGTCTGACAAGTAGTACTTTATAGCCGCTTTTAAAATTTGTTTGTTCAACTTACAGTAAAGAAATTCAACTATCCAGGAAACTAATTAATAGTGATTCTTAAAGACTAATTTCATCCTTAAAATGAGAGTTAATGCTAAAGTCTGCCTGAAGAAAGTGTCCCACGGTTCATATTTACCCTGTGTACAAACTATATTTTGTATCATAAACAGCTCCTTTGTTTTTCTTTATTTCAAATATGTGATTTATTTTATACATTTTCCAGAAATGTGTCAAGTATCAACAAGCCTTTATACTTTGCCTTGCAAAAGTATTTAAACTTCTTGAAATTGTTGTATATTTAGTAAAAACTTTTTCTAATATATAATATAAGAAAAATATAATGATCTGTAATATAATATTCAGTATATTTTCATCATGTATATATTTTTTTATTCATAAGTTACATTTTTAACAAACAGCATCTTGGATACCAGGGAATACAGAAAACAGATTGTGAAGCTGAGGAAAACAGTTTTATAAATTAGAATGGGCCAGTCAAAGTAGTGACCTAAAATAAAATAAATATTTGTCTAGTTTATAAAAACGAATAGAAAAATAAATTGATGTAATGCACAAAAGGAAGTAAAGAAATATCAAAAGAGCAGCATCTGTTAATACAGCAAAGGTTACATGAATTATTCACCTAAGGATAAATAAAAGTTCAAAGAGTATTAATATTTTTGCACGGCAAAGAAGTAATGAGTTAAATAGATAAGCTTAACTAAGAAATCTGTTGTTTTCTGACGTTTTTTTGTGTCTATTTTTTTCCATTGTCATAAAAAGTAAAAATGCCCAGATAGACATTGGGTTTTTATTTATGCAACTGTATATTTTTTATTCCAATAGTATCGTCATGTATGCATTTTTAGAAGCTCTTTTATTTATCTTCTTGTTATGCCACCAACTTCTCTCAAATTTGAACTGAATCGTTTTTCCAATTATTCAATTCAATTCAGTTTATTTCTAAGGAAAACCAGCTGATTGCATTGACTCATTGACTCTTCAGCAATCCCTCACACTAAGCATGCTTGTAGCGACAGTGGAGAGGAACAACTCACTTTGAACAGGAAGAAACCTCCAGCAGAACCAGGCTCAGTGTAAGCGGCCATCTGGGGTTCAAGGAGACGGAAGCAGACATAGAAAAAGAAGCAGAGACACAAAAAGCAGCTGTAAAAGGCGGCCCCGTCCAGGAAACACACAGCCAGGCAGCTCCTAACCAGCTCCCATGTCAGAGGATAAAGAGAGCACATCCAGTTAGTCACAGTCAGAGAAACAGGACTACACTGCAAAACAGGCCAAGCTACAACATCTAGAAACAAAGCTGTTAAAGTAAAAGAATAAAGTGTCACTGAAAACATTTTCTTTAAATAAAAAGACGTAACAACAGTTTAGATTTTGACTGAGGAAGCAATGCTATATGAGCAAGTATAGTTTTTTTTTCAAATTACTGTGTTTCTGCTTTCACGGTTTGTTCCATTGCTTCCAGTTTTTGAAGGCAGAAATCCATTCAAACAGATTAGGAAAGCTTTCTCAAAAACATACTGGGAAAATAAAAATAAAGCTTAGTTTATGTGTGACTGAAGGGTTTCATTTCCAGCTTTAATTTATCTATTTCAAATATCTTTATACTTTTATCTTTTAAATGTGCACTTGTTTCCGGGACCTTACAGATTTAATTTTTTATTTTTCAATTAGTTTGTTCTTCTGCAATTCTTTTTCATTATCTGAACCAGGAAAACCCACTTAGGGAAAACCTCTCTCATTCTACCTTCATGCATTGCCACGTTTTAGTCCCATTTGGCCCTTTCCCAGAAACGTTCCAGGATGAAACACTCTTTCAATTCTTTGCTATCAGGCCAAGCATACAGGGACAGCCTCCCCTGGGTCACATTAACTCAATGGTGAGGACAATACCACCATCATGTCAGGACCCATCAGCCTCCATCCCAACAAGAGAAGTGAACAGAGGGAAACACCATAGGAGCCTGAGGCTATGACTCTTTAGAAAATAGATAAAAGGGGGGAAAAGTAGAGAAAAACAAAAAAAAAACATACTTCGTTAAGTGTTTTCCTTCCTTGGGTGATGAAAAGCAAACAAGTCAGAGTAGATCTGGGTCTTTCACTCCTGAACAGTCTGAGTCATAGCTCAGAGAGCGAAGATGCTTAGATGTGATTTCTGACCCACAGGGCGAATTATAGGGGAATGTGTTGAGGCATTTCCAGGCCTTGAGGATATGACATATTTCATAGGCCTGGACTGCAAAGGGCATTAACAAAGCTGCAGCTGTTGGTAAGTTGATGCAATCCTTTGACCCTTCATAACTTTACAATATAGATACTGCAAACATTTACAGGTTTTGCTCTTTCAATTAAAAAGTAAATTTTAAGTGGATTTGCTTTCTTTTTTAGTGCATTTATATAGCCTGTTATTTTATCAAACAAATTGGAAAGAAAATGAACCAACATTTTCTTTATTCCCCTGGTAAAGAAAGATTGAAAATGAATACTCGAAAATAAATTCTCATGTTGTTGTCAATTTTTAAGCCACCGATATTAAATACATTGACATACGTTCTTGCCTTTAAGTAGATGTCAAAATAAGTTAAGATTGTTACTTTGACTATCGCATAAAAAATAAATAGAACATTAAGTATATAGAAAATTTGCAAATGCAGGCATAACAGTCAAAATTAAAGATGCGTAGCCATATTATATGCCTATACGATAAAGACTAAGAAGCATTGGATCATGATAAAGTGAGGTTATATGCAGCAAGCAGTCTTACCCATCGTTCCAAAAAAAATACCTTTTTGAGCCTAAATAGAATTAGAGCAGAGGTGTGATGAGCAGACATAAACAGATGTGGCGCCATCTGCTGGCAGTACCATGGAACAATCAGAAAGCTGATTGGTGACCACTTGCTGAGTTTGGATTCAGCAGCTGCATTCTCCAAAGGCCAGATTCATTGGCCGATAATGTCCTAGCACTGCATCGAGGTCTGTTCGGATTGAAGACTCCTTGTTATGCCTCCGACTAATGCAGCCTTCTTTTTAGCCATTTTTAAGGACATGTCCGCTGTATCCTACTTAGCCTTGGTTATACAATGATTCATTGCGAGTTCAAGCAAGCTGGCTGCTCCGTGCTCAGAGGAAAAAAGGTGTTGGTGAATATTGGAAGTGCAGTTTAATATAATACAAATATGTGAATACTTCCATCTGAAATGAATGAAAGTAGTTGTTTTAAATGGTTATTGAGTCAGATATGCGGCGGTAATATTTGATTTATTGATTTATCTGTCCCTGTGTAAATGTTTTAGGCTGACATTAAGCTCAGATCCAATATCTCTGCAGGGTGAGGACTATAAATCTGATGTTTGAGACAACGGTAGGCTACTGCTGCTGAAGCTCCTAAGAAATGTTATTAGCACCCAGAACAGTAGTGAGAAGTTTTTGTATCCATTCTTTGCCTGCTAGGCGACAGAGCATACTCACGTTGAAAGTTGGAGAAGGCTAGACCTATTTGAATCCATAGCCAAACTGTTCCAGCCTCCTTATTTTCATGGCCTTAAAAGGACCCGGTCTACCTGGACCCAGTCCTTGGAGGACGCAGCCGCTGAAATCGTCCTGCAATGCCTCATGGTAAAGGGACATGGTGAAGCTGAAGTGGAAATGAAACAGACAACCAAACTAACTTAATTTAGGAGATTATTTCTTACTTATATCAATAATTACAAATGTGAAAAACAAAAGGAAAACATAGCATTGTTTTATCATTTTTTGTCAGGGGT